GTAAGTCATTGTTGAAGCCTTTGTGCTTCCGAAGGTTATTTGAGCTGGTCAATGAGTTGAAACATGAATGTTTATCTGAGGAATTTGTTCTGAGTAAGTCAGGACGTTGGACACATTTTTCCGGAGTTACCCGTCCCCGTTCTGACGTGATTCTGACGTAATGTGTATCGTTGCTGGGTACTTTTCCAAGGGTATTTGTTTGTGTTTCGACTTCTTGAGAATTTGGTAAAGCATTTTTCTCAAGAGGGTGAATTGTTTATTGACAGACCTTTTAGGAGATAGTAATTTGATATCATCAGAAGATATGAAAGATTTCGTAGAGCATGTTTTGTTGGGAGATCGACAGATTTCGTAGAACATTGTTTTATTGGGAAATTTTTTGAATTGGAATAAATGGTGGATGATTTCCGTGTGGATGCGTAGTTTGATTTATCGCCGTTGTAACTGGCAATGATAGTCGTGACGAGGATTTCGTAGATCGTATCTCGTACCGAGCAGGGGGGCTGTTTGGGGTGCTCGGCAGAGTATACTGTCTACGGGGCCTCCGGGGGGTACGCGGATGAAATGTGTTGATGGGCATGCTGCATGGCGATGGTGTTGCCTACCGCATGTCTCTCACTCTCTAATCAACCAAGGTCTTGAGTCAACCTTCTTTCTCTTTCGGCCTCGGACGGGCTACCGCACCCAAACACGTTTCCAGAAAGTGCACGATTTTTTGCAACGAGACACACAACACGGACGTTGTATGGACCATACAACTCTACAAGCTGGGAGTTGTATGAGTTCCCAAACCCCAACGAAAGGATCGCTCCAACTAACCATCGCCCCGAACCCTGGGTCAGTAGCCACGGCAAAATGTGCAAGACAAGAATAATTGAACAGTCCGCCACGCCACGCGTATGCAGGGAGCTGCAGGAAACGCAATCCACGGTACGCACTTGCACTACATCTATTTCTGAAGCGGAATCATGATCGCTGAGGAAACTATCTCTACATCAAGAAAATGGAGGTCGTGATGTTGTTCCGAATGCCCAACCCGAAATAGATATCATATCCCCCACAATTCAGAAGCGAACGACCTCAGATAACCGACCACGCAACACAACCGACAAATCGAAACATCTCTACCCCCTTTCATTGCAGTTGCTCGGAAAGCCTGCCTGCTGCAGGCAGCTACTGTCCGCCAACATCACCTGGTGTGTGGTCGACAATAAAAGAACGATTTTCACCCAGCCGCTCCTGTAGGCAGGGTGCTGCCAAACAACTAATGAAGACAAGACATCACAAGAAAAATACAGCTACATAACAACGACATACACTAGTCTCTGGGTACGCGTGAGCAAACCGTTCCTACCACGGGAAGGCCACAACCTATCGCTCAAGGGGATAAGGAATAGCGAAGGGTCCCCCCTCCAGTTCGAGAAAAGAAAACTCAGGGCAACTCCGAACTCAAACCCCCCAAAAAATAGAAGGCGCCAACACGGCTAGCCGCCACGTCGGGGTTGCGTCACGGCCACCTCGGCCGGCCCTACGTGCATGTGACGAATAAAGTATATATAAAACAGTCAAGAAACACGGCGTTGCCCCCCACGACGCCAGAACGGAAGCCCCCGCGGTAGCACTCTATTCTTCGCTCCACGGGCAAAAGATCAACCAACTCGAAGATAGTCTATTTCATCACCCAGCAGCGACATACAGAGGGGAACGGGTGCAGGGATGCACAACAATCATGCGCAGTCTCTACAACAACGCCTTCCCACCACCCACCACCCCTGCTCTCCCCCGCTCGCCCGGCCCAATTTTGAGGCGCAGCCACAACCACCGCGCCAACGTCAAAGGGCGTCCGCCGACGCTTTCTTCAGGGCGGCCCTCACTTTCGTGAGTTCGGCTTCCATGATCTGGATGTCCTCCAGGTCAGCGTCGTCACCCAGCGCTTTCTCTCTCCTGATGTCCGCTTTCTCCCAACCCCGCCCCAAGACCCAGTTGCTCCTTTGCTGCTGACGCGGCGACCTTCGCCGCGTTCTCGATCTCCTGGACCTGCTTCTTTTTCTGCTTGTCTTGCCCGCCGAGGGTGGCGTTCCTCTCCTTCGAGGCTCTCTTTGCCGCCGCCCTCCTCTTGGCGTGGGCGGCGGCTCCTTCGACGCCACTCTCTTGGTCCGCCAACCCCCCCACCCCCGTGTTTCGGTTTCCATGCCTTCAGGGAGCATCTGACTGCTGGCCTGCTCGATCCCAGGGTACTTTTCGCACATCAGGCCGTAGTAGTACGTGTCCAAGCTTCCTGGCGTGTGGCGCAGTGCGGTCAGCGCGGGGTGATCATGGGTCGAGGGGGGGCGGGTTGAGCTGGTACGTGCTTGGATCATGAGGTGTTTCGGCATTTTCAACTGCAAACGTAGAACGAACGAAAACCAAAGAGACATGACAGTGTGCAATTCGGGGTTCTTAGGAGTCGGGAGAAAAATGCAACACTCGAAAGAAAGCACGAAATGCAGCACAAGCCTATGGACATCACCGTATCGTCGCTGAACAGCGATGCACGAAACTGTACCTCACGTTGGGTGCGCGTAGCGGAGGAAATATGACGAGGACCTACCTCCATCACGTGGTTTGATTCCTTCACTATTGTAGAGTGAGGACAGTTGTCGATGCCGCCACATTCCAAGTTGACGCACTCCTGGACATCTACGTGCTGTATGGAAGTTCACACGTTTCGGAGAGATTGGATTGCGGGCGTTGCAGCCAACAAACAAATACTACAACTGGTGGGAAGGCACCCACAATGTCCGGAGCACGCAACAACCGTCTGGGCACGAACACTACGGCCTCCCGATTTCCCAGTCATAGTGCTGTGGTTCTTCGGCAACGAACCACATTTGCTGGGCCGCCGCAGCATTCCATTATATACGACAGCAAACAAACAACGGAGGGGGGGGGGGTTCCCCACGACCTGCCAACAGAACAGAAAAACTGAAACGCAATCCACTTACCCTTGCAAAAGGAGTACATCTCTCCGTTGCTTCCGGATTTCTTGTAGTTGACGTGCATGTCGCCGTGGTCCTTGATGATATCGTTCTTCATCGTGGTGAACTTGTCGAAGGTGATGTTCGGCTGGTGCACGACGTTGGGGTTGATACCAGCGGCCAGCACATGCTCGTCGTCTGCGAAGGTGCAGGGCACCTGAGGGTTTCGCGCGCATCACGCGAGGTTGTATTAGGGTGTGTGTGTATCGTAAGCTTTTGTGTGGTTGCCCTCCGGAACCAAACACGCCTACGTCAAAACAAGACATGCCATTGATGTCCGGTTTTTCCTGCGGTGCTCGTACGTCCTCTAATTGCGCCGACCCCTCTGAACCATACCGAGCACAACCCACCAAAGCAGCCAACACAATCGCCACTACCGCCACCTCGGACCCTTAGCCGCTATGAACGAGAGAGATAACGGAAACAATGGAACTGCTGAGGGCGAATGCCGGAGAGTCACGTTGCTTCTACATGCACTAAATACATCTCACCTCCACTTTGTCGTCCTTGAACTGTTCCCAAAGGCGCACCATGGCGGAACGGGTCTTGCTGGTAAGCTTGTTGTCCAGCTCTGCCTTGCTTAGCTGCCTCCGGTGCCCAAACCACAACTCTAGATTCATTGCCACCACTTCACAGAACCGAGGGACGCAGTGCTTGCTCTTTCGACGCGCTCCGATGTCCTCGTCGCCCCCTTCGCCGTCCTTGGCCGCCTCGATCGCAGCCAAGACGGCGGCGGCCGGGTACGACCTTCCATTGTATGCCAGCAGCTTCCTCTTCTTGAAGCTTGCTCCCATGCCCACGGCAGCTTTCGTCGCGATCATGAGTTCTTCAGGGATCTCCTCGGTCTCCTTCGCCGACGCGAGTGGCTGGGAGGCTGGCGTTCCGCCTGTGAAGTGACGCGCACGTGGGTCGACGGGGGCGGGGCGGGGGAGGGGGTGGTCAGGAGCGAATGAACGTCGTGTTCAAACTACGACGTTTGATGTACATGTACATACACATCCCGTTCGAATGTGGGTATATCTCTAACGGGTAGGCTTTCTGTATGTGTATCCTTTGATTGTCGGAGAGCACATGCAACGACGTGTGCCCTGGGGTTGCAGGCTTGCTGAAACGGAAAAGACATGCATTTTTTGTCTAAACTTTATGTGCAGGGGACCAAGGGGCGGTATGTTTCGCGCTGCAGCTCGCGCATCGCCCTCGCTGCGAGGGCGAAATCAAACACACATACTTAACATTAACGAGGGGTGGTTTGGTGTACAGACAACACGGCCCGGACCTGCGTCAGCTCCACGACTGATAAGTACTTGAGATACACAGTATGCCACGGCTGCTGTACTTGTGATGCCTCGTAGCATTGGCCGCCGGAGCGCGGTATGGTTACTGTTCGAAGTGCGCTCCCGAATTCAAACTGTGAAACGCTGGGTACAAACGCAACGCTGGATACCGCTTTCAGCACGACCGTCGCATGCTGGCACTGCTGCTGCTGCTGCTGCTCCTGTGCTTCTCTTTCATCCTCTCTCTCGTTCTTACGCATTATCTCGTACACATTCCTACAGCAGTTCAAAAGCACAAGGCGATGAAATCTAATCTATATTCCTGCCCCCCATCACGTGGTGACACAAGCATTTTGACGTACCTCTATGAACGGCAGTATACAGCAGTCAAGAGGGAGCTTAATAAAACGCCCAATATTCGACACAACAAGCCAGACGCGCAATTTAAGCACAACAGCAGTGGCAGGGAAAAGATGCGCCGCGAGGCTAGCACAAACGTTCAGTCCCTTCAATCACCTGCGACCTTGTCGTCCAGATCCGCGAGGAAAGGGCTGTTCCTCTCCATCACTACGTCGAGTTGCTCCAATCTGTTTGCCATCTTCCCACTGTCCTTCTCCCTGCAGAAGCCCATGATTTTCCGCAACGAGCACGCCTCTCTCAGCAGGCTCGCCGGCCACTTGTGATAGCATTTGGTGCGGTTGTGGTCGATAGACTTCTGCAGCGTCAGCAGCGCCGGGAGGGTCGTCGCCGACACCGGCGCCCCCGCCGATGCGACGTCGCTGCCACTTCCCGTGGGGCTGCCGCTATCGCTTCTCCTCGAGCTGCCGCCAACGCTTTCCCTCAAGCTGCTGCCACTGCTTCCCCTGCCCATCTCCAGGTCGTCATCCTTCGCACCCATGGAGAACGAGTCATCGTCGCTGGAGCTCTCAACATCGCAGCTGTTGTGTGACGCGATGGGTGATTTGTTCTTGTTGCTCCCTCGCGCTTGTTCGTCATCGTCGTCCGCGAAAGCAGGGTCCGCCCGTAGGACCGCCATTACTTCCTGGGCTCTTGTCTTGTGTGCTATTCCCGATGAGGCAGTGGTCGTAACAGCAGTGGTCGCCACCTTACGGGGGCAGCAAGCTCCACCCTCGCTCTGGGTGTTGGTGGCGGTAGCGCCTTCCGTCGTCGTCCCTGTGATTCCGGGTAGAAGCTTCTGGCTGGTGGGCAACAAGCCTCCACCGCCTACGGCGGCCCCAAGCGAGCCGTTTTGATTGAATTTTGCCGGGGTTCTAGTTTGCCGACCACGCTGGGTCGTTGTAGCCTCCCTGTTGTTGTCCATGCTTCGTGTTTCTCAGTGGCGTGTGGTGTGTATTGGAGGCAATCGTGGTTCTCAGTCGCGTGTGGTGAGAGCTGATATTCATTTGGAAAGTTGCCGTGCGGCGCGTTTAAAATGAATGTTGCTGGCTTCCAGATTATTGGAATCGTAATTTGGAAATTTGGAACAGAGATTTGGAAACGATTAAAACAGCCCTTAGTGTATGATGAGAAGAGTACAATTTCTGGTGGGGGGGAACACGTGCTTAAATGGCGAGAGAATAGTAAGGGGAAAGAAAAATCGTTCGCGTTGATCCCAAAGTTGGCACACAATTGGACCGGTCCGTACAAGGTGTTGGTTGTGGGTCCAGGTGATGGTCTTGACGGGGAAAACGTGGGCCCGAATATTTTGTATTTGGATGTGAATAAGGATGAGCCAGGAAAGAACATTAATGAGAGGGTGTCGGTGTATCGGTGTAAGAAGTGTTATACTCAGCACGAGAAAGAGGATAGGCCTAGGTTTTTGCCGTGGGGCTTTAGTAAGTACGTGTTGAATAAGTTTTCAGAGTTGGCGCCTCCGTTCCATCATACGGCAGAGGACGTGGAGGAAGAAGTGGATAGTAAAGAATTGGTCCCGTGTAAAATATCGAGGCACAGGATTTGTCGAGGTATCAGTGGAAAGGGGGCGGTTCAGTACTACACGCATTGGACGGGGTTGGCTAAGTGTACGTGGGAGCATGAAGTAGAGTTGGAGCAATATGGGGACGTGGTACTTAAGTATTGGAATGAGCAGCCGGAACAATCGGCCGGAGGGAACATTAGGTATCGGAGGTACCGTATTCAGGGAGCAAAGAGGACGATTGCTAGCAGGAAGGGAGAAAGACACGTGCAGAAAGATTACAAACTTTGTTGCGACACACGGGGTAGGCCGAGTCTTCGAAGTAGGGCGATGATTGGTGCATATTTATATTTTAAGACTACAAAGGCTGGGTGGCAGTTTGCGAAGGTGGTGGAGGTGACTCCGGATCCGAGGTGGGAAGAAAGCATCAAGCATACTACCAAGCTGGTGGACATCGGCAAAAACGTCAATGTGGCGCTTCTGGAGAAGAACTTGACGACGGAGAACTTGGTGCAAGATCCATGAACGAACGTGGTGCTGGCATGCACACCGAACGGCGAAGGGTGTGAAGAAGTACATGTTTGAGTTGGAGGATGATTAAGTGTTGAATTTTGAAGTGCGTACGACTGCGGAAAAGTGTGCCAAGTGGTGCAGTCGAATACGGGTCAAAAAATTATATTGTGTTTTTGAAGTGCGTAGGACTGCGGAAAAGTGTGCTAAGTGGTGCAGTCGAATACGGGTCAAAATTGACGTGTTGGAGCAATTGTTGTTTTGGCTAAAGAATGTACCTTGTGATGGAGTCATATTGCACTGGTACCACGGTCGGGACGGAATTGGTGTGTGTATTACATGAGCTGGTATTCTGGCGATAAACGTTTGGACTTGTTGCAAGGGGATGATATTGGTTGCAGGTCAGATGTTGCACGTGGTGGTTGAGGGTCAATTCGAACGAGACTGATCGAAGATAAGTATGCGTTGAACCTGGGGGGGGGCGAATGCCGTGCAATAAGTCAACCCTAGTTTTAGTCAGTGTAAGAAGACTTGGGGTAGTTTAATCGCAGTATATATGTTGAGGCGTGATGGAATGGACTTACAAATGATGGCTCTGGGAGCAGGGTTGGAATTAGTTCGGGTTGAGATATCGTCAAATAAGGTGATGGAAAGTGTATCAGATGGAGACTAGAAGTGAGAAAGTGTTGGTTTATGGTTGGAATGATGAGCTTATGAAGGAATTGCTGTCAGTTGAGAGAGAGAGAGGGAGAGAGAGAGAGAGAGAGAGAGAGAGAGAGAGAGAGAGAGAGAGAGAGAGAGAGAGAGAGAGAGAGAGAGAGAGAGAGAGAGAGAGAGAGAGAGGGAGTTGGAGAGAAAGTGAAGCGGCGCAATTAGCTCTCGTCACCTGATGTTGCGTGCCCCCCTTTTATAGTGTTCGAATTCCCTGCTGTTCCCGGCCCACGAAGGCCTAAGAAACACACTTTGATCGCACGCATCTTCGAGACGCGAACACACACGACCCCACCGGCACATCTACACATATATCTAGGCGCGAATAGGCCACCGCCGGCCGATTGCACGTCAACGGTGTTTGGATTTAGTATTGTCGTCTATAGCTGGGGGTGTCATTCCGTGATCGAGTCCACGCAGGGGCTGTAGCAAAGTTGGGTAACGTGTGAGAGCTACAGAGCGCATGAAGCAACGGAAGGACAGCAGCAGCCGCCTAACGCAGTAGCGGCGGCAGTTTAGAAAATCCCGCCCTCCCATCCCTTTTCTTTCGAAGGTGGGGGCATAAGTTCGGGAATATTCGGTATCTAGTCGGGTGTTGTAGAATGGTGTGTACCATTTGAGGACTTGGTCAGTTTTGGGACTCCTGCGGTTGCAGTCGTAGTCCCCCGGCTAGTATTTGTGGGGAGAGAGATGGATTTGGAACAGTTGACGCCGGCCTTCGCAGCTAACGCGGCCGGAGAGACGATGAGCGTTTCGTGCGTCTCTTTCTCCAACACGAAGCCTAGAAACCGAAGAAATAATGAAGCAATTCGAAAGAAAAAAAAATAAAAGGAAGGTTTGTTCGAAGAGCATATAGAATAAGCTGGTGTATATTTTGTAACAGTCGAATTAGAATTTGGCTTCATTTTCTATCGGAAACCCGGGGTCACGTTGCCGTGCAATAAGTCAACCCTAGTTTTAGTCAGTGTAAGAAGACTTGGGGTAGTTTAATCGCAGTATATATGTTGAGGCGTGATGGAATGGACTTGCTGTTCCGTGTGAAGAATATTCTTGACAAAAATCTGCGCGGCTCCGCTGAGCTAGAGCGGCTTGCGCACAGCACACCCCGGCTGAGAGTGAACGTGCGTCATGTTGGGTGTGGCGTGAGTCAAAGGAAGTTCACCAATGCAAAATACAGCTGTTATAATTTCGCGTTGGAAGGGACAGGCGAGGCACGGCGTGTTGCGTGATGACCCCGGTGGGTGTCGTTTGCATACTGCTGTTGACATGTAGCAGGGGAAGGCAAGTTCTCTTCGCTACATAGAGCAGTGTTGCAGATGATGTGTCTACTTCTTCAAGGCTTGACGGCCTTCCGTACGCGTTGTTTGGCTGGGTTAACGAAATCCTGGAATTGTGGGGTGACCGCATGCAGAACTCATTTAAACAAGATGTGTTGGGAGCGCGTTGGCTTTTGTTTGCATTGCGGAGACAACAGCATTTCTCTGTGCTGCCTACCCTGTGCTCTTCTTCCTGTGCTTCGGTACTGGGGTGCACACGCGGCTGTCATGCATGTCCCACGGATTGACCAAGCGCCATGCTCGTGAACTCGCAACGCGCAACCTAACGTCCGAACCGTCACATATGTATGTGAGACGTGCTTGAGGTAAGGTCCACACTGACCTGCCACGTACCCACGCCACAAAAGATGTGTGTGCTGTACAGCGGCTACAACTAACGGGTTGCCGCTCTGTGTACGTAAATTGCGCGCTGCGCAAGAGACCGCATATTTGTCTACAGTTCCTCACCACGCTCATCCGATCACGTCCAATGCTTAAAGTGTGAGAAAACATGTTCGGTTGGTCAAAGGTTTTGGCGGTTGGGGGCAACTCAAGGCCGTCGCATTCAGTCTCACACAACAACAAAGGTGTGCGGCGTGCGCAAGAAAAAAAGCGCCCAAACAATCTTCACCTACTCTATCTTCAAGTAGTGTCACGTACCCGTTTTCTGCGAGTATTTAACTTGGGGTGATCTACCGTAACGTACAGGCAGAAAGACGTTTCTATATCCCCCGCCCCCACCAACTCCATGGCGCCACTGCACACTCCTGGCCACCAGTTCGCTAGGAGGTTCAGGCTTAACCCGTTCGAATCCATCACAAGGGTCTACACGTGCGCATGGCACGCCAAGTTTCTGGCTGGGTGTCATCCTCACCAACTCGCAACGAACACCTTTAGGGCGGCTATCGTGCAGTCTTCGTCTCGTTATATGTGCCGGTCGAGGTCTCCTTTGCGAACAGTTGAAAATAACATGAGTCCATGTGGGCACCACTCCTCCACGAGATATATGCTGCCAGGTTGTCAAAGAAGTTCGTTGGAACAGATTGTGATGCACCTTTGATTGACGTTTCACATGAACCGCAAACCTTAAATGGGTCAAAGTAGTTTCTTGTTTGTCTAGCTTACGCCAGGGCTTAGTCCACCGAAAGAGGGGGTGTACGTCTTGGTGGACGTACGGTACGTAAACTGCTGCAAGCAAGCGCGATGAACCTACAAATTTACTGATTTGTTGTATTTTTCCGAAGCGTCATTTTTATTCTTATGTTCCACCAAGTCTGGAACTCTCTGGCCAATAACGAGGGGACGACACCGGTCGCTTCCCTCTCTCCTCCAGAGTCCAAGTTCCCCATCCATGTCAACTGGCAGGCCCTAACAAAATGCCGTCTCAGTACACCGAGACTCCCAATGGTACTCCATACCATTGACATCCACCAACATCGACGTTTAGTGGGATGGCATTCTGTCCCCTTGCCCGTACCTTCGTGTATGCTAACCCTTCTTCTGCTCCATCTTCTTCCCCTTCGCTAGTTCACGGGATACCATGTCTACGTCTGCTCCGTCTTCTTCCCCTTCGCTAGTTTACGG